GTGTGTGAGTGTGTGTGTGTGTGTGTGTGTGTGTGTGTGTGTGAGTGTGTGTGTGACCCTTTAATGAAGGTCAGACCCCTGTAGGTCCAGCAGCTTCAGGGTGTTTGCTGGATTGAGGGTCTTGTGTTCAGTGCAACAGTCCAGATGAATATGCAGCCCACAGAAACCACTGGTGTCTCTCGCTTTTTGAGATTTAACAAGAACCATCAATCCTTCCTCTCTGTTTTCTCTCAGCATTATTATGATCAGAGCTCAACAATAAGGACTGCCTGATGGCCCAGGGTCGGTGTGAAGGACATCCAAGTCAGTGCTGCGTCAGTACAAAAGTTTATCGAAAGTCTTGCCAATTTAAACATTCAAGCAATTTTAATCCATTCATTCCCGTGCAGGAATACCAGAGTTTATTTTTTTTGTTGCTTGAATGGACACGTACACACACAAAAAAAAATAATTGTCAAAATACCCGTCTTGGCGAGTATCCTTGTAAACACAGATGTTGCGTCTTAAGTGAACTGAAACAGGAAGAAATGGGATGTGTATCATTATACTGGATTCATGCAGTAGCTCTTAAAGTGATAGCAGCCTAATAAACCTTCTGCTGTCTGTCATTAATGTTAATCAAACAACAAAAAGAAACTAAATCACTTTTATAATTTTAATGATGTTTAATCTATATTTAACCAGGTTAACCACCCTTATGCAGTGATTTGATTATTACATTTTTGTTCCTGAATACTACTGTAATGAGACTACGGAGTTAGACCTACCTTCATGTGCATAATTGTTCTATTGCAATTATTTGTGTGTTTTCTTATTTTAATATTGACTGTTCACTTATCTTTAATAATGTTTGAACTTTATATTAGTTTGGTTAGTAGTTTTTTGCAGTGGTATCGAAACTGGAAGCGAGAATTCTGAAATTTCATTGGTATCTATTATTTTGGTGTCAAACTGTAACAACCTTATTTATTGGAATACAAGGTTATGTGGGTCCAAAACAATGAAAACATTACCTATTTTATTTATTTATTTAGAACTACTGGAAAACAGCCACTGAAAAAAGTCCACCAAAAATCATATGCGAGATAAAAGTTTATTGAGAAGAACAAGGCAAACAAGGCAAACAAGCCTAGGCTCCTAGTTCTAACATTGTTAGCTTGGCATTGAAAATGGTCAGTATGTGCCTGAAACGTTTGCCTTGTTCTTCTCAGTAAACTTTTATCACGCATATAATTTTTGGTGGAGTGTGCGGACTTTTTTCCAAGCATTTTATTTAGAACTAAAAAAATCCTTAGTGTTGAGCCCTGTTATGCTTTTTTGTCCCTTTCTAAAACATTATATTTCAATAATAACCCCACTTTTATGGTGTTTGCTTAGTCAGCCATTACAACTACTATTGCTCACACACATGATTAGTGATCTGAACAAACCTGTAAGTATTAACATTGGGTTTGTAACTTATTCTGTATCTGCACATTTTCTGCAGACAGTGTAAATAATGTAGCTCTTTCTGCTTGTTTTTTGCTTTGTGTCATCTGTGAAAGGTCTCTTCTATCTCCAGACATCTCAGCTTCACATGGCTCAGTGTTTTAGACAGGCTTTGATCAGACTCTGAGCATCTGATAAATGTTACAACATGACAGAGATCTTTCTATCCCACCAAATCTCCCTCTGTCTTTCTTCTTGACTCATCTGTCCATCAGTCTAATTTCCACACAGTAAATCAGGAACAGTGTTTTACACCCTTTATCTTTATTCAGTAATTGCTGAGAAACACAAGGACTCTATTATCCACATTCATATTCTCTGTGTCCTTGATGTTATCCATCTAACGCTCCGGACTAACTGGTAAAACCATAATTCGTTCATCACTGTGTTTAATGTCTGGCCAGAATCATCTGTCATATTCTGTTGTACATGTTCAGTTAGGTGGTGGTTTGTTAAAGTCAACATGAAATCAAAATGAACACTATTTTCGTAATACTTGTTTTATTGTGATTGATTTACAGATCTGTTTTTATAGTATTTTATCAAAATGTTTCATCGCAAACTTGCTCTGCCTCTGAAACAACTTCAAATTGCTCTTATTTTTCAACTACTTCACACACTTTTCAACCAAACATCATCATTCATTCAGTTCTCAATGGCAAAACTGAAGTCCTGTTCTAGTCCTGTTTCACTCAGCATTGGTATCGGACTAAAACTATTAAAAATAGCTGCACTAACTGAAATAAAGCTGAATTTAAATATTAGATGAAAAACATAAACTTAAAAAAATATGAAAATTAGAAATGTTGCTGACAAATAAGTTTAAGCTGAAGTACTAACCAAAATAAAAAAGCTAAATAGAAATATAAAACCCCAAAAAAACTAATAAAAAAAATTACAAAAGCACATTGCACATGAAATTTAAAATTGAAAACATTTCACAGAAGTAAAATGGGTAACATAAACAGTGCCTACAAAAAGTGCAAAAAGAAAGAAAGAAAGAACTGAGTGGTCTTTAATAACTTTAATAATACTTCACTAACTTTGTTCCTTTCACATTTTTTTTTCAAGAAAGAAAGAAGGAAAAAAAGTCTCACAGTTTAAAAATAAATTACGGTTGGTCACTGTACATGTCCATCAGACGCTCTCTTCCTGTCTGAGTGGGCGGTTCTTGGCTAGAATAAGCTGCAAAGTTGACCAAACTTTCATGCCGATAGTTAGAAGTGTGTGTGTGTGTGTGTGTGTGTGTGCATGTTTATGTGGTTTATGAGGACACAAATTTGTATAATAACATG